GGCACATAGACCAATAGAACAGAATAGAGAATCCAGAAATAAACCCAAATACTTACAGACAACTGATCTTCAACAAGGCAAACAAAAACATTAAGTGGAGAAAGGACACCCTTTTCAACAAGTGGTGCTGAATTAATTGGCTAGCCATATGTAGGAGAGTGCAACTGTATCCTCATCTCTCACCTTATACAAAAATCAACTCAAGATGGATTAAAGACTTAAACCCAAGATCTGAAACTATAAAAATTCTAGAAGATAACATTGAAAAAACCCTTCTAGATACTGGTTTAGGCAAGGAGGATTTTATGACCAAGAACCCAAAAGCAAATGCAATACAAACAAAGATAAATAGCTGGGACCTAATTAATAAAGAGGTTTCGCATGGCAAAAGAAACAGTAAGCAGAGTAAACAGACAATCCGCAGTGTGGGAGAAAATCTTCACTGTCTATACATCTGACAAAGGACTAATATTCAGAATCTACAATGAACTCAAATCAGTAAGAAAAAAAAAATCCCAGCAAAAAGTGGGCTAAGGACATGAATAGACAATTCTCAAAAGAAGATATGCAAATGAGCCACAAACATAGGAAAAAATGGTCAAAATCACTAGTGATCAGGGAAATGCAAATCAAAACCACAACGCGACACTAGCTTACTCCTGTAAGAATGGCCATAATCAAAAAATCAAAACAGTAGATGTTGGCGTGGATGCAGTGAACAGACAACACGTCTACACTGCTGGTGGGGATGTAAACTAGTACAATCACTGTGCAAAATAGTATGGAGATTCCTTAAAAACTAAAAGTAGAACCACCATTTGATCCAGCAATCCCTCTACTGGGTGTCTACCCAGAGGAAAAGAAGTCATTATACGAAAAAGATACTTGCACACACATGTTTATAGCAGCACAATTCACACTTGCAAAATCGTGGAACCAATCAAAATGCCCATCAATCAACAAGTGGATATAGAAATTGTGGTATATATATTCCATCATAATGGAATACTACTCACCCATACAAAGGAATGAATTAACAGTATTTTCAGTGGCCTGGATGAAATTGGAGACTATTATTCTAAGTGATGTAACTCAGGAATGGAAAACCAAACGTCATATATTCTCACTGATATGTGGGCGCTAAGCTATGAGGACGCAAAGGCATAAAAATGATACAGTGGACTTTGGGGACTTAGGGGGAAGAGTGGGAAGGGGGCAAGGGATAGAAGACTACAAATATGGTGCAGTGTATACTGCTCGAGTGATGAGTGCACCAAAATCTCACAAATCACCACTAAAGAACTTATGTAAGCAAATATCACCTGTACCCCAATAACTTACAGAAAAATAAAATATGTATGTGTGTGTGTGTGTGTGTGTGTGTGTGTGTATATATCTATGTGCAGGTTTTTATATGCACATAAATTTTAAACATATTTGGGTAAATACCAAGGAGCATGATTGCTGGATCATATAGTAAGATTATGTTTGGCAGAGCTGTCAAAGTGGTTGTGCCATTTTGCATTTCTACCAGCAATGAACGAGAGTTCCTGTTTCCCCACTTACCTGCCAGCATTTGGTGTTCTCAGAGCTTCTGAGCTTTCAACATTCTAATAGGTGTGTAGTGGTAACTGATGCTATTTTGAAGTAAAATGACTGATAATTTATTCAGTGATCTTTTCCTAACTGCTTATCATGTGAAAGCCAATGTGAAAGCATATGCGATTAACAGACAATTTGGTTTCTACTAATATAAGCCTGGAGGTCAGAACAGAGACTTGAAAGTGGCATAGAATGTCCACTTACAATATATATATTTTTTAAATCACAGTCACTTTCAAAATTCTCTCATCACCCTTCCTCCAAAGCAGTTAATGATTACTACTGTTTTTCTCTTGATATCTCTAGAAGACAGACACATTATTTTGGATGTACAACTTCATGGGTGAGGAAAGGGAAGTGAGGCAAGCGAGAGTGTGAGAACTTTTTTTTTTTTTTTTTTTTGAGACAGAGTCCATTTCTGTCTTACCGATAGAGAGAAGAGCCCCACAGATATTGAAATTATACACAGTTGATACAGAACTTCTTTTAACCATATAAATCAATAAATCGTTTGCCTGCCTCAGCCTCCCGAGTAGCTGGGACTACAGGCGCCCGCCACCTCGTCCGGCTAGTTTTTTGTATTTTTTAGTAGAGACGGGGTTTCACCGTGTCAGCCAGGATGGTCTCCATCTCCTGACCTCGTGATCCGCCCGTCTCGGCCTCCCAAAGTGCTGGGATTACAGGCTTGAGCCATCGCGCCCGGCCATGTGAGAACTTTTGAGTGGGGACATCATGCTGGCTGCCACTGCACTGTGAGCCTCAGAGAACTCACCAGCGGCTCCTGTGCTGCAGATTTGTCTCCACAGAAGAAGAACAAGAAAAATGATGCGTCAGAATAGACCAGGAGAAGGAGGAGCAAAGGGGGATATGTCTTCATATGGCTTTCATCTTCTCTTTCCACCTGGTTAAAGTTGACCTGAAGGGGAGGTTATCAATTCTGGATTGAATCCATCAGGCCGTTGGTGGTGATTCTGGATGTCAGATCCCCACGCTCCATGGTGTGAAATTCTAACCAAGTGTGGAAGCCACAGGAGTAGCTGGTAACCTCTGGTTGAGCTGATGTACTGGTTTCCCTCAGTGTGGCCTACGGTGAGGACTGGGAACTCACAAGCACGTGACCAGTGGTGACAATAAGTCTTGGAGACGTGTACTGGGGAGACCCCCTAACACCCGTGCTCAATACAGAACCGAATAACAATAGCATGGAATATAACGAATATTGTGATGGAGAAAACACTTAAGTGGAATCAGATAGTAGATGATCTAGGTAGGGGAGGAAAACACCTTGAATATTTCCAAGGTGATAGTCTTAGATGGAAAACTGAAAATGGACAACAGTTGGCCAGGTGAATAGTAGGGGAATGGGGTGCCTGAGATACAGGGAGTAACACGGAGGAATGCCCAGGGTGACAGATATCAAAGGCAGGAGCAGGTCAGGTGAGAGGCAAGTCATGAAGGACCTCACAGTCCCTGTGGAGGAACCTGGGCTTTTTGCTAAAGTGAGTGGAGCCCCACTGACCAAAAAGCTAATAGGAAGCCAGCATGATCAGTTTATGCTTTTACAATTTCACTTTCCTTTTGTCATTTATTAGTGAAAAGAAAAATGACAAGCAACAAAATATGCTAAAATTTCATCCTGAGAGCTGAGAAAGTTATTATTTTTTTGCCAATTAGTAGAAGTTGGAACACATCAAATTGACTATGAATTATTATAGCCCCCAAATTTCTTCATCTGAAATTTTTACCAGTTAATAATTTACTAGTTTCTCCTTGAAAAGTAGCTCTCAATGGGAGGAGACCCCTAGTGGACATGTGGCAATATCTGGCAATATTTTTAATTTTTTACCTCTGTGGGTTGTACTTGACGCCCAGGAAATAGATACCAGTGAGTCTGCTAAATATCCCCAAATTCTTAGGACATCCTGATACAGCAGAGGTTCATCCTAAATGTTGGTGGCATTTCGATGACGCAGAGAAACCCCAGCAGGAGAAAGGAAAGCTGTTTTTGTATGCAATGATTTAAGTTCTCTTCTGTGCATTAGCAGTATAGTTCCAGCTGCATGCCATCACTTGAGAACATTGGTGTTCATATCATTTCTGTGGTTGAGAAGAAAAACTCTGGTTGAAAAATGGTGGATCAGAGGTAATTAGCTCATCTCCAAATGCAAATGCAAAAATAAAAAATGAGATACATAATAGTCAATAATTGTCAAAAACTTTAGAAGCAAATAATCCTACCAACCTTTTTATTTTAATAAGGAATTTTCTCTGAGCTGGAGAATTTATTTATGTATTTATTTATTAAATTTATTTATAAGTATAGAAGTATGAGTGGGAGTGGAATTTTAGATGTAATAATTTTATACATGAAAAATCCAGAAATGCTGAAGATTAAATTTCTGAAGAGTGAATTACTATATTTTTTGCTGTTCTTTATGATGTTTTTACTTCACATCATGCAAGTAATTTTACTATAACTGGCCAACTAGCCATACGAAATTCGAACTACAAGATATAATTTACCTCACTTTAAACTGATTTCCTTTTTGTAATTAACATGAAATAATGTTGTGATTAACATGAAATAATATTGCAAAATATCCCTAAAATAATTTGGTTGAATGTGATATGGAGATTTTGTTTGTTTTGCACAAACCTAGAAAAGTCACTGTGTTTAATTTAGGGTCTTCAGATCAGCAGCTTGAATAAATATTAACCTTTAAAAAGAAAGTAGAAATTATCTATTTTCTCTCCTGTATAGAACAAATCGATGTGGAAAAACCACAAATATGTGTCACACACACACAAAAAGTTTACTCGGGGTTCTACTTTGTTTTGGACTCTTAGACATTATTTCAGGTAAAAGCTGTGTAAATCCACTTAACTGGGCTCCCCAACTCTGAGCCAGCACCACAGCTTGCGCAAAGTGTGCAGACCTGCTTTGTGGTGCGGCCCATGTGTCATGGCTCCACAAAGCCATGCCACTCCCCTCACAGTCCTTTCTGTTGGTTTGCTTCATGTGTACACCTTTCCCCTCCAGCTCCTGCACATCCCTGTCAGAGGACCACTCTTAGGGTTCTGGAACCCACTCTGCCTTTGGCAAGGAAAAGCCACGATCTCTGATGCTGTGACATTCTCCCGAGTGACCCCCTCCTTTGTCACAGGCTGACGGCAGTGAGTCTACAACTTCTTCAGCTTCCTTGTGCTCAGATGCAGATACTGCTCTATAAAGACATTCCGCAGGATGAGCAAGAACTGTCCTCAGTGCTGCTTCATTTGGTAAACTTGCCTGGTCTCCTTCCTTTTCCAGCCTCACTTCCCCTGCCTCACTTGCCCTCTCCCTTCCTAGTTGTTCTTGGAACTCTTATGATTAAATCTTTCATGAAAATCTTTTTCAGAGTGTATTCCTGCGAAACTCAATTTAAAAGGGTTGGTGATAGTAGTTGGATCCTATTACTACAAGTGAATTACACAATTATACCCTGAATTGAAATAAATGATATAATAGAATTAACATTAATTTTTTTTCAATTCATTAGGTCCAAATTATTATTTAAACCTTCTAATCTAATGGCATTATATAGTCATATGTGGACAGCTTGAAAATGCCTTAATTTTTATCTTTCTGCAATCATTCTTAGAGAAGTACATAAAAACCTTTGTATCTGCACTTGGAATATTTTTGCTTGTATATTTTTAAAAAAGTAAAATGTTAATGCTAGCCTTGTTTCTTTAATCTAGAGGAGCTTCTGAGCTAAGTAATCTTTGAGAAAATAGATATGTAAGTGTCAATATGGTAGAATTGGAAGAAAGTTCCAGGTAGAGAGAAAAGCAAGTACAAGAGCTTGAGGGCAGAAGCATGCCAGTGCCAGGAAGAGTAAGTGGCCAGTGTGGCTGCAGTGAGACGTGTGGGGCAGAAGTGGTAGAAGATGAGATCAGAAGAGTGAGTGAGTGAGTCAGATCATGTAAGTCCTTCCCGTCCAAGGAAGGGACTTGGTTGTTGTTTCTGAGTGAATTGCAAATCTCCTAGAGTTTTGCAAGCTTAGAAAGGGCATGATGCGATTCAATCCACAGACGAATATTCAGTGTAGGCACTGTGAAGTTTCTACATGGCAAAGATAGAGGTTGAACACCCAATGGGGAAGGTATCATGTTGTTTCCAGGGAGAAGTGATGGTGACTGGGTGTAAGAAGAGTGCATCAAGGGGCTCCAATTGCAGCATTTATAGCAAAAGTAGAACATGCAGGATTTCCTCATGATTCTGAAGAGGAAGAAGGTGAAAACTAAGAGATGACATTGAATCATAGAATCGTAGAGTAGAAATGTTGGAAAATAATAATCGATACAGTTAAAGGAATGAGCAATGGACTGTACTGAGAAAAATACATAAACATTGTAGTAAATAATAGATGACTTTTTAAATGTTAGAATAAGAAAATTTGACTTGAATCTGTAGGCAGTAGGAAATCAAAAAAGGGCTTTGAGTGGAGGAGTGTAATCTTATAGTCATGCATAGCTTAACAATGGGAATGTGTTCTGAGAAATACATCGAGTGATTTTGTCCTTGTGTGAATATCAAAGAGCATGCCATAATTACACATGCCTAGATGGTATAGCCCATTGTACACCTAGACTCTATGGTAATGCCTATAGTCCCTAAATACTTACGATTGTGTTACAATTGCCTTCAGGATTCAGTACAGTCACATGTATTTAAAAGTATATGAACATAGGAATGGTGCATTAAAAATATGGTATGGAAGATTTAAAAGTGGGACACCTGCATAGGGCACTTACCATAAGTGGGATCTTGCAGGACTGGAAGTTGCCCTTGGTGAGTAGAGTGAGTGAGTGCTGAATGAACGTGAAGTCCTAGGATGTTGCTATGCACTACTGTAGACTTTATAAACACTGTACACTAAAGGCACACTAAAGTATTTGATATGGTATGGCTGTGTTCCCATCCAAATCTCATCTTGAATTCTGATGTGTTGTGGGAGGGACCTGGTGGGAGGTAATTGAATCATGGGGCAGGTCTTTCCCATGCTGTTCTCATGATAGTGAATAAGTCTCACGAGATCTGATGGTTTTATAAGGGAGAGTTTCCCTGCACAGTCTCTCTCTCTTTGCCTGCTGCCATCCATGTAAGACATGACTTGCTCCTCCTTGCCTCCCACCATGATTGTGAGGCCTCCCCAGCCACGTGGAACTGTAAGTCCATTAAACCTCTCTTTCTTTTGTAAATTGCCCAGTCTCAGGTATGTCTTTATCAGCAGTGTGAAAACAGACTAATACAACACTGAAAATATTTTTTCTTCAGTAATAAATTAACTTTGGCTTACTGTAACTACTTTACCTTATAAACTTATTTTTTAAACATTTTTACTCTTTTGTATTAACACTTAGCTTAAAACACAAGCACATTGTACAGCTGTACAAAAATATTTTCTTTATATCTTTATTCTGTAAGCTTTTTCCTATTTTTAATTCTTTTTATTTTGTTTTACCTTTTAAACTTTTTTATGATAAAATAAGACACAGACACACTTAGTAACCTAGGCCTATACAAGGTCAAGATCATCATTATCACTGTCTTCCACCTGCATAGCTTGTCCCACTGGAAAACCTACAATGTCACTAGGCAATAGAAATGTTTCACCTCCTTTATAATCTTATGGGACCACTGTCTTATTGGCTGTCCACTTTTTACTGAAACATCGTTGTGCAGCACATGACTGTATTATATAATATATATTGCATCCTCTTTTTCGGACTTCAAGTGGAAAAGTGCAATTTAATCACATAGCTTGAATCATGACCCGTTGTTCTATGCAGAGCACTCACTAGTTTTATTTGCCCCTATGTATCACTCTCATGCATAGCTCACATCCTCCTGCCCTCAAAACACTCAGAAGAAGAAACTGTCTTCATCTTTATATTTAAATTTAGGAATGTTAAGATTACAACTTCTTTTCTTTTCTCTTTTCTCTCTTTTTTCTCCTTTCTCTTTCCTTTCCTTTCCTTTCCTTTCTTTCTTTTTTTTCTTCGTTTCTTCCTTTCTTCATTTTTGACAAGAAATAATTGTATATATTATGGGGTACACTGTGATGTTCTGATATATATATACTTTGTGAAATGATTAAGTCAAGCTAATATATTCATCAAATCTATCATTTTACATGGTGTGAACATGTAAAATCTGCTCTTTTAGCAATTTTGAAATGTAAATTACCCTAGTATTCACTATAGTCACCATGCTGTATAATAAATCTCAAAAACTTATTTCTTCTGTCTAGCTGAAATTATGTACCCTTTGACCGACATCTCCCCATTTCCCTTCTCTGCCCTGCCTCTGATAGCCATCATTGTACTCTACTTTTGTGAGTTCAACTTTTGTAGATTTTATAGATAGGTGAGATCATGGAGTATTTGTGTGTCTGTACCTGACTTACTTCACTCAGCATAATGTCGTCCAGGTTTGTCAGTTGATATGGTATGTCTGTGTCCCTACCCAATTCTCATCTTGAATTGTAGGAGGGACCCAGTGGGAGGTAATTTAATCATAGGAGTGGTTACCCCCGTGCTGCTGTTCTAGTAACAGTGAGTGAGTTCTCGTGAGATCTAATGGTTTTATAAGGGGCTTTCCCCCTTTTGCCCTGCTCTTCTCCTTCCTGCCACCACGTGAAGAAAGGTATGTTTACCCCCGCTTCCGCCACGATTGTAAGTTTCCTTTATAAATTACCAAGTCTCGGGTATATCTTTATTAGCGGTCTGAGAATGGACTAATACACCCATGTTGTTGTAAATGACAAGAATTTTTTTTCCTTTTAAGGCGGAATATTATTTCACTGTTTGTGTTACCACATTTTCTTTATGCATTCATTGTTTGTTGGACACTTACGTTGATTCAATATATTGGCTATTGTGAATAATGCTGCAGTGAACATGGGAGTACAGATATCTTTTTGAAATATTCATTTCAAGTCCTCTGGATATATACTCAGAAGTGGGATTGTCGGACCAAATGATAGTTCTATTTTTAGTTTTTTGAGAACTCTCCATACTGTTTTATACGATGGCTATACAAATTTACACTCCCACCAAATGTGTATAGGAGTTATTCTGTTTCCCCACGTCCTCACCAACACTTGCTATCTTTGCTATTTTTTTGGTAATGGCTACTTTAGCAGGTGTGAGGTGATATATCATTGTGGTTTTAATTTTTATTTCCCTGATGATAAGTGATTTTGAGCATTTTGTTCGTATATATGTTGGCTATTTTTATGTCCTTTGAGAAATACATATTTATATCATTTACTCCTTTTCAGTTGGGTTTTTCCTTGCTACTGAGTTGTTTGATCTGCTTTCTTCCCTTCGTCCCTCCTTCTTTCCTTCCTTTTTATCTTCCTCTCTTTCTGTTCTTTTTTGCTGTTGCTATGTATTTGCATAATATACATATTTCATTATTTTAATTTTAACACTCTGAGTCTTGGTAGCCAGTATGTTGTTGACCAATGTTCATGTTTGTATAGCCTAAGTTTTTAAAATATCCCAGTGCTTATATCTTCCTATTAATTAAGTTCTTTTTGCATGCACTTATCTCTCTTTGGTGTCCACCCAACTCCCAGCTATCATGTTTAGATTTTATTTCAGATTATTACACATAGTCGTTCTTTTTAAAATTTTTTCCTTGTTTTTATTGTTTTTTTACCCAGGATTTTTAAAGACCATGTATCAGTGGTTGTTCAGCCTGTCTCTACCCAAACTTTTCCTCTCCTTCCTCATGGCTACTCAGGTTAAGACCACATTCACCAGTATCTTTCCTGGCTAAGTGTGACCACGTGAGTAAATGTCAACCAACCCTATAATTAGAAGGGCAACCTTGTTAAAATTAACTTCTGACCTAGATTTCCACTGTTTCATTTTGGTGTCTGGAAATGATGACAGTCAGACAAACCACGAAAGCCTGGAACCCTAGAAGAATTTGTAGAAAAAAAGGGACATTTTCTTATTCTGAACATTTTTTATGGTTAAGAGAGAAGCATTATTTTTATTATAATAATCAATAAAAAATCTTCCCTTTGCTTCAAAGAGTGAGACACTGTCTCTATCTTCCAAAGCTTTTTGCTATGAAAACATTCCAAAAAAAAATCTGAACAAAGGTGATCATTGCCTCTGCTCTATAAGATGTGCAGAAATGAGAGATGCCAATTTTCTACCTTGTAGATTTCTCCACATCATTCTTACACATAGACAGTAAAATAAATGTGTCTAGTCTCAAAGCAAATTGGGAATGTAGTATACATTGCCAAAATCCTTATATTAATTAGGAAACAATAGATTTAAAAACAGATTTTTGACATCAAGGGCAATGATATTCTATAACCTTTTTCAAGAGTCCTTTACATTTCTACCAGAATAGTTTAGAACACCCCTCCACTCCCGCCACATGCAAACACACATTAT